AAAGGAGGTTTAGGCTTCAGGGTTTGGGGTTTAGGGTTTAGGGTTTAGGGTTTGGGGTTTTTGTAGTTGAGCGGCAAACGGCATTAGGTGGAACTAGAGATACAAAGTAGCTGCCGCTGGCCGAGGGCGTTCTCTAAACCCTAAACCCTAAACCCTAGAGGCGGGAGACTCGATGTAACTGGCGGCCGTGGCGGGTAAATCAGGGTTTAGGGTTTAGGGTTCAGAGTTGCTGCTGCTGGAGTGGATTGGAAATAAGATTTAAACTTGTTTTTAAACATTTGAAAAAGTTCTATTATTATTTTGCTGCTGCAGTTATACGGCAGAACCAGCTGCTGCATCTCAAGACGAGTTCAGTTCGCCGCCATCGTCGAGGGTTTAGGGTTTAGGGTTTAGGGTTTAGAGCGCAGGGATTAGGGTTTAGGGTTTAGCGTTTGAAACGCAGTGAGACTGAAGATTTAGTTTCCATGGAGGAAGGTTTAGAGCCAGAGGCTACGGTTTGAGTGCAGGCTAGGGGCTGAGGGTTTAGGGTTTAGGGTTTAGAGTTTAGGCTGCTGCTGCGGACCAGCAGGGGCTGCGCGTGTTGCTGCTTGGCGGGGTGTACGTCCACTAAGTTGTCGAAATTTGAGTTTATTTGTTCATTTGAATCTCATTTTTAACTTTTTAATTCAGCAGCAGCAGCAGCAGCAGCAGCAGACCAGCAGCAGCAGCAGCAGCTGCAGCAGCGGCTGTCTGGTGTCTTGTGTCTCTACACCCCGCCGCACTAGTCTCGTTTTGCTGAAAGTTTTCTTTTATATTTCAATGAATGAATTTTAAAATTAAAATAAAACCCTGAACGCCCGAGAGGGCGGCAGCAGCAGCAGAGCAGCAGCAGCAGCAGCAGCAGCCTTGACGCGGTACAGCGCCTGACCATGCGGGCTGTGTGTCAGTTTTTATGTGTGCTGCAGCTGCTGCTGCTGCAGCAGCTGCACCCAGCAGCAGCAGCAGCAGCAGCAGCAGAGGACGCGGACGCACCAACTAGTCCGCGGGACGATGCTGCACTCTACGAAGCAGCAGCAGCAGTAGTAGCAGCAGCAGGAGCAGCAGGAGATTCTGCGCTGCGTCACTCGGTGTCTCGCGGCCGAGCAGCTAACAAAGCAGCAGCAGCAGCAGCAGCAGCAGCAGCAGTAGCAGCAGCGGGAGAGCCCGCACACTCGAAGGAGGCGAAGCCCGTGCTGCAAAGCAACAACAGCAGCCACCGCAGCAGCACCAACGGCAGCATGTGGAGAAGCAGCAGCAGGAGAAGGAGCCGCAGCAGCCGCAGCAGCAGCAGCAGCAGCAACGTGGGGGCCCGGCTGCAGCAAACAGCAGAAAGGGTTTACCGGCTGCTGGTGGTTTTGGGGCTTTTCTTCGCGCTGTGCGTTTTGCTGCGGGAGCAGCGGGAAGTTGAGAAGTTGAAGAGAAAAAAAAGCAAAAGTGGAATTAATTTAATTCCGAAAGAAGAAAACAAATAAACAAACCTAAATGCATTTATTCATTTCAAAAAGGGAAAAAAAAACCGAGAAAAAATTCCATTTTTAACTTTGTTTCGAAAAAACGAAAATACAAAGCCCCAAGAAAACGCATGCATGCATGCATGCCTGCATGCATGCATGCATGCAGGCAGCAGATTCAGTACGGCTGCACCCGCAGCAGCAGCACCAGCAGCAGCAGCAGCAACAGCAGCAGCAGCAACAGCAGCAGCAGCAGCAGCAGCGGCGGCGGCGTTTTTCCTGGGGTTCTGTTTTCTCGCGAGAAGTAGTTAGTGGATTATTATTTAGAATTGTAAAAAGTGTAGAATGGATTTATTTTTAATCAAGTTAAATGATTAATTAATTAATTTAATTCAATTAATTTATTAATTAATTAAATTAATTAATTAATTAATTAATTAATTAATTAGTTAGTTATTATTTGTTAGTGGTTTTTCTTTATTTGGTTTTTGCCAGTTTGCTGCTGCTGCATTTCTGTCTTTTCTTTTTTCGGTTTTCTCCGACTCAAAACTTCTCGTTTAAATAGATAACTACATTAAATAATTAAATTAAATTAAATAATTAAATTAATCAAATAATTAATTTAAATTAGATAATTAATTTAAAATTAGATAATTAAAATAATTCATTTCAAAATAAAATATTTCATTTCAAAACAAAATTTTATTTCATTTCAATCGGAAGTTGTTTACTTTTCCCAGGGACAGAGACAAAAACCTGCTGCTGCTGCTGTTGCTGCTGCTGCTGCTGTTGCTGCTGCTGGGGGTACACCACGCAGTGCTGCTGCGGCTCTTGCTGCTGCGGTTGTTGCTGCTGCTGCGGTTGTTCCTACTGCTGGTGTTGCTGCTGGTGTTGCTGCTGCTGCTGCAGGAACACAGCGCACTGCTGCTGCTGCTACTGCTGCTGCCTGTTTGTTATTCTACTGGAATTGTCTCGAATCTCTCAAAGATAAAAAAGAGAAAACAAATAAGAATAGTTTTTTGTTTATTCTTTTTTATTTTATTTTTTACAAAAATACTTTTGATTGTTTTCGGAATTTAAAATTTATTTTCAAAAAATCCTTTTTCGCCTTTGCTGCAGTTCTAAACTTTCTTGTAAATTCATTTATCATTTTTTGTCTTTTATTTTATTTATTGTTCATTTGTTATTTATTTATTTATTATTTATTTATTATTTATTATTTATTATTTATTTATTTATTTATTTACTTGTTCTCTTGTTTTTTGTTCCATTCCTTTTGTTTTCTTTTCTGCTTTTGCATTTCGGTCTTTTTCATTCTTCTTTACTTTTGTTTTATTTATTTTTTTTAATTCTTTTTATTTATTTTTTTAAATTTATTCCTTTTTATTTGTTCGTTTATTTATTCTCTTTATTTTTCATTTTATTTATTCTTTTATTTATTCTTTTCTCTCTTCATTTTATTTATTCTTTATTTATTTTATTTGTTCCTTATTTCTTTTATTTGTTCTTTTTATTTTTCTTTTTGAAATTCTTTTTTTTATTTTTCGTTTTTCGCCTTCACTTGCTGTGTACGTACACCTCAAACAATTGAACTTCGTTTCTTCGGCTCTTCCAAATTCATTTATTTTTAATTTTAATTTTAATTTTAATTTTGAATTTATTGTTCTATATTTCAGATGCAGCTTCTGCTGCTCAGAAGTGCGTTTTCTGAAGTGCATTTGCTGCTGCAGCAAAGCATTTACTGCAGCAGCAAAACATTTGCTGCTGCAGCAAAATATTTGCTGCAGCAAAACGTTGCTTATTAGGAAAAGCTTTTAAGCAAAACGCTGCTGCCAAATAGTTCTGTTTGGCATTGCTGCCAGTGCCTTTCTCTGATTCAATTCTATTTGCGTTGCTGCTGCTGCAGCAGCTGCTGCTGCAGCTAATGCTGCATCTGCTGCTGCTGCAGCTACCACTGCTGCAGGAGCTGCTGCTGCAGCAGCGGCGATAGCCCCAGAGATAAGGGCAGGAGTGGCGCACTGCGGATTATGAATTTAGTTTATTCTTTTTAAAAGAGACGAGTTAGACGGAAGGAAATGTTGCAGGATCTGAAGAAATATAGAATCTAATTTGTGAAGTTGTTGTTGCTTTGAGGTGAAGCCTAATGGTGTAAAGTAATGCGGGAGTTTTAATTTGAGAAGCTGCTTCCGCAGGCTGCAGCTGCTGCTGCTGCAGCAGCTGCAGCTGTTGCTGCTGCTGCAGCAGCGCGACGCCGTGGGGCGTTTTGGGGGCTCGACGGCTCAAGTTTTGAGATTCAAATGTACTTACTTATATTTAAAAAGCAAGGTAAACAAAGGGGCGGAAAAAGGGGAAAATTAACGGCAGCAGCAGCAGCAGATCGCTGCAGCGCTGCCGACGGCCAGCTGCTGCCGAGCCACTTGCTGCAGTGTTGCGGTGCGACAGCAGCAAAAAGGCCCCCCGGAGAAGCAGCAATTTAATTATTTGAGTTAACTGGCTTTTTGCTGCTTTAAAAAGAGGGATTAGCTGCTGCTGCAGGGCGGAAAACTTGGAAGTAGCAGCAGCAGCAGCAGCAGCGGCGGCGGCGGCCCGTCAAGTGCAGCAGCAGCTAGTGGGAGCTCCCCCGCTGCTGCTGTTTTGTTGAAATTCGGGCAAATAAATTCGCAAAAGCAGCAAAAGAAAAATAAAAGTTGAAAAGAAACAAAAGACAAAAAGAGGGCTCGTGGCTCGCTGCTTCGTGCGTCGGCAGCAGCAGCAGCAGCAGCAGCGGCGGCGGCGGCAGCAGCAGCAGCAACGGCAGGAGTAGTTGAGGCTTAAAACCCATCCTTCTGCTCCTTTTTCGAGGCCGATTTTGGTTTTGACTTTCTTTGCAGCTTTAAAAGGACATTTAGGTCTCCAAAACCCTCAAAAAGGGTTCCGCGCGAACAGCTACCTGGCGCTGCGCCTTCGGCGGCCGACGCCTGCAGCCAAGCCGCAGGGGGCCCCCCCGGGGACCCTCTCCAGGACAGGGGCCCCCCTGTGGCTGTTTGTGTCTCTCTGGAGTTTGGGGGTCAGTGTGCGTGTTTGGGTGCCTCGCGTTGAGGCAGCTGCAGCAGCAGCAGCAGCAGCAGCGGCAGCCGCCGCCGCCGGCGCAGCGGACGGGCCGCGGGCGCGTCGCTGCAGCAGGCGCAGCAGCAGCAGCAGCGGCGCCCCGGCGGGACTTTTTGCAGGGCAGCGCAGGGGAGGAGTGGCTGTGGAGGGCCCCTCGGCAGCAGCAGGGGCGCAGCCCGCACGGCGTGGGCGGCAGCAGCAGCAGCAGCAGCAGCAGCAGCAGCAGCAGCAGCAGCGGCAGCGGCAGCAGGGGCAGCGGGGGG